TTCCATACCTTTTTCACAGTTTCTCAGACTTCGTCGTTTATGTAATGACGACTCTGATTTTTCCGAAAAATCAGAAGCAATGTACCAGTTTTTCGATAAAAGTGGCTATCCTGTCTGTCGTTCAAGCGAACCACCACCTTGCCCAACAAATTGATCGACAGTCAGCACTACAAACGGCTGAGAAGGAAAACACTGACCGCATTCCATTCACTCTCACATTTCACCCTCACAACCACGCGGTTAACTCTATCATTCTTAAAAACTTTAAATTACTCTAAAACGATTCAGAGGCTGGTACTATCTTTTTGCAACCCCCGCTTATTTCATTCAAACGTGACAAAAACATAGGCAACTTTTTGCTTAGAAGTTCATTTCAAACCAATGACCAATCTGGAAATTTCAAATGTGCTCCCTCACGATGCAAAACTAGTCCTTTCATTCATAACGTAGAGAAAATATCGGGACCCAAGAGATCCATTAAGATCACTGGTCACTTTACGTGTACCTCCGCCAACGTCATTTACTGCATAACTTGCACTTATTGCAATAAGTTGTACATTCGTGAAACAGGTAGACGACTAGGTGACCGATTCCGAGAACACCTTCGCGACGTGGAAAGAAATGACAAGGACGCATCCAAACCAGTCGTAGACACCTTTATCTCCCTAATCATTCTAAACAATATATGACACTTTGCGGCCTTTCCTTACATCTAGGCAGTTCGGAAAGTCTCAAAACACTGGAACAAAAATTTATCTTCCCAATCGGCACCCTTCATCCCCAAGGTATCGACGAGCGCTTTTCATTCAACTAATTTATTCTTGTTTTCTCGTCACCATACTCCCACCAATGGTGAAGCTCCACCTGCTGCATATAAACCCACACACAACCCAGAATTCCTCCAATAGCTCTGACGAAGGGCTAACGCTCGAAGCGTCAGCTTTTTTTACCCTTTACGGTGGAATTAATCAAATAAGTAATTTCTATTTCCAATGCCATTGCCAAGCCGAGCTACCTCAATAGAAAATGTAAAAAAATAACAGGAAGTATGGAGCCCACTCGTTCTCAGGTCAATTTTGGGGTTACTGATAAGCTCTCTTTGAACAATGGTAAATTTTTCTCCCAATGTTAGATCGCTTTTTGATACTTTTTTACGTCTCTTTTCAAATGCCTCAACCTGTCTCAACCTGTACCATCAATTGCCATAACGAGAGCTGAGTCGCGAATAATTCAGCCCTCTTCTGGCACATTGTTTTAAAGTTTAGAGTTATTCAAATGTAATATTATTCATCTGTTTAAATAGCTCTGCCGATGTACTATAAAATAGCCAGGGCAGTCTTTGCACTGCCGAAGAATAAAGTCAGAACAATGGAAAACTATGCTAGATCTGCATTCACCAATAAATTTAACGAGCAAGTAACTAAAATATAGCGGATAAAACGCTGGCTTTTACATGTTGAGGACGCTGTGCCGACTGCTGTTTTACGTTACCTAATGGCAAAGCTAAGGGAACTCATTTCAAGAAGCCAAAACAGGTTACATAGAATTCACAATGATAAGAAAACTATTTTGATACTGGTTACATAGAACTCACTCTCGCCCAAATTTCAGTTTTCTTCCTCCTGCCCGTGCTCTCCACCAAGATCAGTTCCATTTATCAGTTTGACGCGGTTGGTTTTTATAGATTTTTTTTACCCGCTAAAGGACTTAGCTTAGCTTACTGTTTGTTTTAAATGGCTTAGGTTAAGCAGGTATCCGTGTTGGTTATTTGAACAACAAATTAAGCTAGCTCCATGAAACATTAGCGTTATGAAAGTGTATTTTAAGTTTGAAAGGCCTTTGTTATTTTGATCTACCTTCAGGCGGAAATATCTTAGTTTCATGCAGCGAACGTCTAAAGTGCCGCAGTGTATTAAAGCTTCACAAGGACTTAATTTATCTGTTCCGTCAAACCTAGAACGTACGGTAATATCATTTGTCTGAAAAAACAGGAAATTACGCATCCCGACTGTTAAATTCAATGTACATGGTTTGTATGATTAAAGACGCGAGAGTCAATCTTTTTACACTGTGTATTTCCTCACCTGCTCAATCGTGTAATTTCATCTGTTACGAAAATTATTTTTATTTGTCAACATGGAAAAAGTATTCCGTTTGCTTGAAATTTAATTATTGTTGGTGCATGGTTGGCTACTTAAGGGAAAATATGAACTTTTATTTGCTTTCACGTTACAGTTTAACAGTTACGCGAAAGTAAGCAGATTTCTTTGAGCATGAATGAGTGGATGTCAGTTTCATGTTTTCATTGTTTGAAGAGGAAATGAATTTGACCTCTGCAGATAAAAGACGGCAATCTGAAACAAAAATGGAAGTGCGCCACAATCAAAAGTACCGTTGTACTTGGAAAGAACACACGTTTCTTGTGTTAGGGGCAATTTTGAACTACTAAGGATGGATCCTCAAACGTTTCTTTTGTATTCTGGCTTACCGAAAACCAGCTACTATTACTACCATTTACGAGTTACATATGAAGATAGAAAAGATAACTTGTGCAACTTGTGTCATGATTTTCCTTATTCCAATCATTGCAACTCCATCGCTTCTTTGGAAATCCTTACAAATTTTATCCCGACAGGTCATCGTGAGTTACACGGGGTTATTTTTTTTTCTCAGTCCACGTTTCCAATTAGTACTCAGAGCCGAGGACAAAACCTCTTTTCACGGTTGAAGGCGAATTCTCATTTTATCCTTTAATAAATCATCCTTGGATTCCAGACCTGATTTAAGGATAGTTTCACACCTGCTAATCTCAAAGGTAATTTTAAGGCGAGTAAAATGCTCAAAGAGTTCCACTGACACATAATTTCATGATTTTCTCTGGCAGGATATGCCATGATTGGCACACAAGGTCGTATACCACAGCCTACATTTTGCTCTACCTCTCACAATTTAGCACTAAAACACATGACAATTAGAAATAATTGCCAATTTCCCGAAACGTTCTGAATCTGGCTCGATAATAACCACCCCTAAACTATTTGCATTCATCTGGACCACTCATTTCGGCGAATTAATCTGAAGAATGATCTACAATTTTATGACCTTACGACCAATCCTGGCAAATTGTGCGTAAATGGGGTGTAGACGATTAATTAAGATTTAGAAGCGGCCGAGTTATGGATCATGAAATAAGTCTGATTGACAAATCAGTTAGGTTACCATCATAATCTTATCTTGTTTCAGACATCTGTGTTATGCATGTGAAGATAATTATGAATTTTTCAAGCGAGTCTGAAGTGAATCAATATGGATCAAATCAGTCTAGAGATATTTTTTCTATGGATAGCTGTAATATCGTTATACCTAGAGAATAGAATCAACAGTTGACATTTTATTGGTTACCTTAAAACATGTTGGTTTATTTTTATCAACATCCATAAAATGTTTGTACCGCTAAGCATGATTAAAGGTATTTGCCGGTTAAGCGAGGCCAGAAAAATTCAGCCTCAGAGAATCTTGCTGAATGATAACAAAAGCTTAAAGGACATATCTTAAATCTACCAGCGTGAACATCCCGAATTATTTGTGTTACGGACGCGTCATTAAGTAACTTAGAGTAGGACTTATTCAGGGTGACTCGTGCAAATTCTGAAAAGGATTTGATTTGAACACTGAGCTTGAAGCTATATATATTTTATTTTCGCCCTATTATCTCTTTAAAATATTAATACTGATATGTCGAGCTTCAGAGAGTGGAGATTAGTCTGCATGGAATGGTTGATAATATTTTGAGGCTTTCCTTCACATTGGGTCCTTTAACCTGATATCTCGCTAGTTTTTAATCAGTAAGATACAGGCATAACTCTTATTACTTGCACAATGTTAGACGACCACATGATGTAGACAAACTACCCTGTTTCAATAATTGTCAGTTATACTGATCATGGAAGAGGTTTCTCGACACAAAGAAGAAATAACACTAGCACTTCTCTCTTAAAGGGAAAAAATGCGTTTTGACGCGTGCCTCAATTTGGCAACCTGTCGATGAAAGGTATCTAAAGAAAGTTGGTTCAAAGGAAATTGATAAAATTTGCTAGCATTGATCATGGGTGAAGATTGCCAGTGGCTCTCACCTCATTGAACTTTTCCCATAAATTTGACGGTAAGAACGTTGGTTTTAAAAGTATTAGCTGACTGGTACAGAGAGGTTCCTGGTATCAATATCTGCCTCGCATGTCTTGTTTTTGAGAACTTGGATGGAAATCGAGGACTTAAAGCAAGAGCTGGACATTGCCATGATAAATCTATTTCATTTACCGTAAATGAAATAGACTTATCATGACATGTTCGCTCTCAGAGGGACATTGGATTGACAATGGATAGCTTGATTGATTTTTCGTCTTTTTATCTTAAAGTATGAAATAACCTTCGTGGTTTACGTCTTTTTTATCACATCGTGTAGGAAAATTTTTTGGCAACCCCAAAAGGAAACTTTAATATCACATCTAACGTAGAACAGGAACATAACAGGGTTCTTTTCACATGATAAAGTTTGATAAGATTAGCTTTTAAGGACGTTAATTTAAACGACGGCTATTGTGTCTTAACGTACGATAGCAGTTCCCTAAGCCCCTTAGCGGATTTACGAGGCACAAGAGCTGAGATACTTGAGTGTTCAGGTCATTTTAGTATATTAGGAACATATTCACACCCGGATATTACGTTTGTCGTGAATATTTTAAACACTGTAATTCAGACTGGCGCTGCCTAATTTTAGCGACAATCTTTAAATATTGCTGCTATTTCAAGCCCCCCTTAATATTTCTATGCATTGCGTGGATAAGCAGTCAAAATTGTTAACAATTTTCTAGCCTTAAGTCCAACTCGACAAAAGTATTCGTTTGAATTTAATTTCAAGATGTCAGAGCATTGGTCATGGGCTTCTGTTCATACGACACGCTATGAGTGTTATTTGACAGGGTATTTGCTAGCGGCATCCGCTGGATGTAAGATTTTTGCCAATATACAAAATGGCGGTCTTCGTTATTTAATTTATTTCTTCAGTGGATAAAGTTTCCTCGCATTTGGAAGCGCATGGTAGAATCATGAAAGTAAGTTGAATTTTACACTACTTAAAGGCAAAAATTCCCCGAAATTTTCAAAACATTACGGTTCTAAGACATTTTGTCTTTTCCCTCGTCTCCATGGTAAATAAACAAACCTAGTCAGACACAGTGTATTTTTTTTGGAATGAAGGATTAACCTGCCAAGTAAAATGCTAGAAACGCATTTGAAACAGGAAAATAGTAGCAGAATACTTTTCTTGCTTATAAACGTGTGGAATATTGCAATGTTTTAAACGTTTACCGCAAATTATTCAGCCGTTGGTTCCTTGTATGTAAACGGTGTAGTCGAGTCCAATTCTGCTGTCATTATGACTGTATTCATAAGAAACAGCCAAGAATGAAAGCGTTCTCATGAATTTGTGGCGTTCTGGTCATAATTATTCGTTAACATACGTGTTTTTACAAATAAAAATTGTTACTTTACTTTGGGAAGTCAAAAAGATATGGTGGCAGGGCAGATTTCATGTCAGACAGTATATCTGTAACAAGACATTCCTCATTATTTTCAAGACCTCAATACATCCTCTTTTGCCAAAGAAAATTAAAATTTTATTTGCAACATCATAAGTAACTTGAATGTAATAATTACAAAATCATTTTCTTGTTTTCCTTGAAATACCATTTTGTGAGCAATAACTTTTTGTTGTTGTTTTTGTTGTTAAAATGTTACACAAAAAGGGCAGCTTTTTTGTTAAAGTCATTCAGATTGATATTTTAGCATCTTTGATAAAAAAGACCATTATAATAATATATGTATATAAATTTATATGATAGAAAAAGAAAGATGTAGGTAATGGCAACATCATCCATGTGTCTATCCTCCAATAGATTATACATTGAGCAAGAACCGATCAGAATGCGTGCTTGTTGTAATTAATCCCTTAACTCCCAAGATTTCATTAGCAATTCTCCTTACTGTCTGCAATACAAGTCATTTGATGTTAGTTTGGAGAATTTGGAATTGGATCAACTAAAAGATATTTCTCTCTATTCTCATTACTTGTCTGCTTGGTGTTGTACTGATAGTGTAAGGAGAAATTCTGTCTCAGGTACCAGTGGGACCTAAAGGGTTATAGTTTATTATGTACATGTAAACTAAAAATGACTTGAAATCTGTTGAAATTGCATTTCATTTTACTTGCTTTGTTTTGTTTTGTGTACAAATTTATACTGTGAACATTATTTATTTGTTTTATACATTCTTGTGCACATTCATATGTATCGTAACCTTTTTTTTAGGATAACAATGTTATAACCTTTGAAAAAACTGTGAGTTAGTTCTCTACTTTTAAGCAGTGGCCATCTCTCTACAACTACCACTTCTTTCTTGTCTAATAGTTGCCTTTGTTGAGATGTTCCACTAAAGTAGTAATTTTTCTTGCTGTCAGCTAATATTTGATGTGACAGATAGTTATTTTACTATTTATGACATTGCAGCGTGTCTTCAGTGTTCCTGAGAAGGTGACAGGAGGTGGTACAGTCCAATACTGCTGGCAGCAGAAACTAGGAAATTATTTAGCTGTAGCTGGGTAAGATATATTGAAGTAATATAGAGTTCAGGTGAAAGTACCTGTAAATATATGTTATTAACAAACAGACATGTACCATTCATTACTGTCCAAAAAATGTAGGACAAACAGAGTTGTGATGATCTATGATCGTCATGGGGAACAGAAAGATGAAATCAACCTTCCAGGGTAAGTGGTTTTTGTTTAGTATTTTAAGGAAGGTAAAGTGTAATTACATAGTCCATGATTAATGACATGTAATTGTATAACATGGCAAAAGCTTAGAAGCAAGGGAAGAAGTGAAGTGTGCTGTGAGAGAGGGAGGGTGGGTGGTTTTACCCTATACTCTTAAAAAGTACTTCGCAAAGGGGTAAAGCACAACTACCTCAGTGTACTGGGTGTCAAACTATAAATTTTTGGCATGCAACCAAAGGAATTTGAGAGAAAAAGGAAACAACTTAAAAAAATTATAATCTACCAGCTTAAGTTAATGAATGAGCTGGTCTTGTCTTGAAAAGGTTGCTCGGCTAGCAAAACAACATGAAAAATTGCAACAAAGCAAAGTGTGTACTTTGGGTACTCATTATGCAATGGATACTACTTGCTGTGTGTAGGCCAGAGTGGAGAATAATTTACCTGTTCCTGGAATCAATCAGATCACAGGACTTGTAGAATAATGGTCACTCATGCATTGAGAAAAAAGTACTTTTTGTGGTGACATGTACATTTAATTTTGGAGGTGCTCTCTGTAGCTAGAATTTTTTTTCTTTGATTTAGACAATGCACAGGAATGGCATGGGACAAAGATGGTGACACCTTGGCAATCATACAGGATAAAAATGGTAATAACACAGTCATAATTTTCAAATTAGCAGTTGTATCCTCTAAATAAAATTCCCTACTGAGCTCAAACTCAGTGTTATCTACATTTGGCTCAATTTGCATGCCATTTAAAAATCAACTCTGACACCAACAGCACAGAGTCCAAATCAGTCATGTGAGCAACTTTTATAAGTCATTATATAGAAGCTCTCTGAAATTTAAATAAAATTGAACAATTCACATGTATCAATTTGGTTACATGCAAAATCTTTCCATTTCTGTTGCTGAGACCCTGCAGTTGTATTAAGCACAAACATTTAATACATGTCCATCTGTTCATATCAAAGAAAAAATTAAGGAAATTCTACTTTTCTTCAATCAATATCAAGGCTGTTATTACATTAAGGGAAAATTACTCTCCATATACTGTATAATTATAGTTTTCCCTTGCCATTAAAAAGTGAAAATTCACAGCTACCTGTTACTACCAATTTACAGCTTTACTGAATGCTAAAAAAATTCTTTTAAAGTGCTTAAAATGTGACATAATTAGACCTGTCCAGTAACCTCGTACAATTTAACCTCATTACCCTGTTCACAAGCATCTGTTGCTCAGGTTTTTGCAAACAAATAAATGTTTAAGTCAAGAGTGCTTTTAATATGACTACAAACCAGTCAAATGTCTACAGATGGAAGAAAAAGAAGTAAGAATTTATTACGCTTCCCGTAAGTTGCCAGGTTGCTGAACAAAATTGAAAATGGGTGGTGTTGGTAGGCAAATTGTAACCCTTTGAAATCTTTAAAATCTGCCAGTAAGCATCATAAGTTTATATACTCTTTTTAATTTGGATTTAGGCTTTGGGAACATGTATTTCTCCTTAAAATAAGCTAAAGCTGCTCCATACATTATACCAGCAAGTACATGTAAAATATAACAATTATTCCATGAGCACTCATTGAATATATGAGATAACAAATAGCCAATGAAGTGTGCAGAGCTAAGTTGCTTATAAACAATCTTGTTTCCAACAAGTGTGAATGGAATGACTGGTTTCACTAGTTAAAATCTTGAATGGTTGGATATTTGGAACCTTTTTTTTAGCTTGGCAACATATGGTGCAATTCATTTTTCATATAAGATGACTTGGAATTTGAGCTGATAACCAGAGTTAGTGAACCAATCAGAACACTAGAATGCAATATTTGGAGCTGAAAAAAAAATATTGTCTATCCTCCTTTGCTTCAGGTATTGTTTACCTGTGGGATGCTAATTCCCACAAGACCATCCAACTGGAAAGTGGTTTGAGGTACATTTATCTAATTTTTAATTCATGCCTGATTGTTCTACAGTCATTCTGATCAATACTTGTTTACAACAAACCTCCTGATTGACACTGACAGTGACATGTACATACAAAGTCATCTAACCATGTTTTGTCAGCCATGGACATAGACTGCAAAAAGGGTTTTTAAAGATCCTTAAAAAAATAACAAGCCCCATCAGCAAACAGATTAAGCAAAGCCTTAACCTGGAGGTTTGCTCAGCTTAATTAAAGACATACTCTCCCAATACATGTGTGCACACAACCTGTAGTTTTTGTTGGCAGCTTCCTTGAGAATACACTCAATTTTTTGGTATACTGCCCGCACATTTTGAGATTGTCTATTGATTCCAGGCTCACCGTTTCTCATTAATGTAGGGAAGGTCTGGCATTTTTATTATGGTCAAGAGTTGGACCACAACTTGCAATAGGTGAGAAATGATATTCATTTAAGCAGACAATGGGGAAGAGCAGTTTCATTTAGTATTGAGCATCAAGTTTTCCTGTCATTCTTAAAACTAAGTGTAATCCAAATGAGCCACATCTATAGCTCATTAGATGCACCTAATGATTAATGATTGAGCAAATGATTAAAGTCAATGGCTGCCAGCTCCTAGGCAACTCTGTATACAGGTGTAACCCTTAAATTCCCAAGATCTGATTGTGAATTCTCCCCTCTAGCTGCTACACATTTCCTTGCAAATCAGTTTTGAGAATTAAGTTAAATCAAGACAACAACTTCTACCTGATAAGTTGGAGTTTTCTCAATACCTGTTTGCAGGATAATGTATGGATATGATTGGGAGAAGTTTCATGTTAATCATTTCTGGGAGTTAAAAGGTTAACAGAAAACACCTGGGCCCAGTTGTTCGAAGGCTGATTAGCGCTAACCCAGGGTTAGATTTTAATCTGGGTTTCTTTATTCCTTTACTCTAAAGCCTTTTTGGGAAAATTTTCAGTGTCCTTTTCAAAGCATCCAATAGTCATACTCTAGACAAAAAGAATTCGATTGAATTTTCTTTTAAAGCTTTTAGATTTGAAATCGGATTTCACACTAACCCTGGGTTATCTTAACCCAGCTTTGAACAACCTGGCCCTGACCTACATGTACATAGATGAGGAAACAACAGAAGAATTATTTTATGTACTACATGTACATATACTGTTCAAGTGTTAATTAGATCTTTGTTTACTTCTCAGGTACATCCAAAGGCAATTTATTGATGTACAACCATCAGACATCAAGGTAATCTAATTTTTGCTTAGAAGTATTCTTTTATGTTTGAAAATTTAGTGTAGGTAATGTCCACAGTTGCATTAGTATTTTGAAAACTTAATTGAGTTATGAAAAGGAAGAAATCAAGGAAGATTTCATGGAGAAAATCCCCTTTTTGGTCTCTGATGCTATTATGATTTTTTTACAATGCTTGTGACAATGTCTTGTCAGAGTAATGCTGGTTTATGAGACAGCAAGTTGAATTTCCATGTTCTGGTCTGTAATATTCATGGCTGTAATTTGAAAATCATGATGTTTATCTTCAAGGTGACATTTATTTTGTTTTTTCAGGAAAGTGCCAATTCTTGGAAAACATACCAAGAAAATAGTGTGTGGAGCATGGAACTCTGAGGTATGACACTGTTATCCTAAAAGGGTGAATTATTATAACTAAACATAATATATCTAATAATAGCTATTGGTTCTACAGTTTTCATATTTTTTTACCTAGTTCTTTTGACAACTACATGTACTGGTTGTAAGCTACAGTACACTGTGGGAGAGGGGAGCAGGGATGGCAAGGTAGGGAGGGTGCTCACCTCCCACCATTGTGGTCAGGGTTCAACTCAGTGACCATTGTCACATGTATGTTGAGTTTGTCATCTGTTCTCATTCTTGCCCTGAGGGATTTTCCTGGGTTCTGTGTTTTCCTCCCACAGCGAAAACCAAGATTACAAATTCCAATTCCACCTGGGAAACAGTAGCCAAGAAGAGCCACTTTGTGAAATTCCCACTTATCTATTTTATTTATCTTTTTTATTTGCAAGCTTTAAGTTCATGTTATAAATCAGTATAGGGTAATTTTTTCAGTGTTTGTGTAAAAAGAAATTCTTGTATCCATTTTCAACCATAAAAAGTAATTCATGTAACTCATTAAATTATAGATAGCAATTTACTTTTGTTGAATAATTGATTGTCCAAGAATATTTGCTGATCTTGAAGAGAACAACAGTTTTATTACAAATACATTAAGTTATAGTAAATTAAAAGCAACTGCATTTCCCTTCATTTTCTTCTTTACCAACAAAATTTTCTGTGATGGTGCTTCACAGTTATTGATCAAATGACAGTCATGATATTAGGGGTGATTATAGGGAGATATTAAATAATAATGAACCAATCAACCAGTCAACTGATGTATTTTTATAATCACCACAACAATTTTAATACTGATTTGTAATCAGTGTACAGTGTACATCATCACCATCATCATCTTAATTACATTTGTGAGAGTGTTTTAAGTGTATTGTTCCCATTGTTTTTCTCTCTATATCAGAATTTACTAGCTCTTGGTGGAGAGGACAAGTGCATCACTGTCAGTAATGTTGATGGAGATACAATTAGACAGGTAATAACACTGATAAAAAGTAGTATCCCTCTTATTTATACTCCCATGAAGACTCTGATTTTGGAACCAAGTCTTCTTAATCCAAACTTGTCACTGTGTATTGTGTGAGTCTGCATGTAGTTGATCGACAGTTGATACGAGGAATAAAAAAGTATAATAGAATTACTTAATATCTTACTGGGACAGGGCTGTACTGAGACTATTGCACCTTAGGTACCACAGGAGACTAACTTTTAATTTGTGAGTAACTTGTACAATTCTGCTTTTAGTAAAATATTTGAATTGCAGGGTACCAAAATTTCTGAGGCAAGAGCCTTCACTCACCAGTTATTCCTCTGAGAGCACAGTTTACAGGAAGTTTTTCAGTTCTATTAATTCTAATAATTTTATCCCTTTCTAAGGAAAGGTGTACACTTACAGTGTGTATATCATAATCTTTAAGCAAAACTGCTTGATTTATGAAAGAAGAAATCTACTACCTGTACAAATTGTTCAAATTGACTTTTGATTAGAAAATATTACACATGTTTAGGTTGTTGATTGGTAACCATGCATTTACATGGGTATGTGCTTTGATTTGTATTGTACAGGCTACTATTAGAGCAGATCCTACAGAAATTCAGTTTAGTGAGATGAAGACTGATGAACGTAGCTCCATTGGTGAAACAACGGTAAGTTCTTTTCTGAGAAAATGCTAATAATGTTAGATAAATAAAGTAAATCCTAAGTTGTTTTCATTTCTCAGTAAAAAAGAGAGGGAATAATTTTTGTTTGTTTTATTTTCGTTGTGTATTCATGTAATGAAGATTCTCGCTCTTTCATTGCTTTCTACATTGTGTCTTATTCATTGATCAAGTATCTAATGAGCTGGTACAATCATGTTACTTGATTACAGTACTTTTATAATATTCAATAGTCTTACAGTAATATCACTAACACTGGTAGAAGTACTTTTAGTATAGAGAAAGATGTTGTCATGAGGGTAGGGCAAAGGAAAAAAATTCTGATTCCCCATGAGGAAAAACTTATTATATTTACAAAGATGATGCTATTGACATTGCTTATGCCAGCAGTATGCAGGATGTGTGTCATATGAACTTTGTAATAGACCTCGTCACCACAGAGTCCCTGTGGCTCAGTGGTAGAGCATTGGATTGCGGAATCCGAAAGTCTGAGGTTTGATTCCTCATGGGGACTCAGAATTTTTTCTTTGCCCCATATTCTTGACAAGAGGAAAAACATCTTTCTCCATTTCTTTGCCGAGCTCAAAACTTACCATCTCTTTTATTCTATGTACTCTTAGTATGCTCTCAATACACTACATTATTAATAACATCTGCTTGTGGACAATCAACTAATTTTTAATAGCAGGACAGTTACCAGTCGTGGTACTAAAAAAGTTAGTTAAAAACCAAGCACTTTGAAATTGGAATTTCATACTGAAATCACATACTTACATGTAGTCCCGTTTAGAGACTGTGATCAGTTGTCTATAAAAATGGGGGGAGGGGAGCACTATGAACTCAAAACCCATGAAAATCTTGTGAAATAATTCATTGTAAATT